AGTCAGAATGAAATGACAGCCGGCTGGGAATAGCCTTGGCATAGGTAGTAACGACCTTTTAAACTTAATTACCTTAAATTTAAACTTATAGGCCTAAATATGCAAAATCAAATCTCGTGAGCCTGGTATCAGAAAGTAATGGGAGATTTCGAGTGCCAACTCAGCCAATACTAACAACCCTAGTAGAGATCTAGTATACTTAAGTATACTGTAGTAGAGATCTAGTATACTTAAGTATACTGTAGTAGAGATAGAATCTTTTTAATTATCTAGATCTAGAACATGGGTTCCCAAACTGGGAGTCGCGAAGGGCTTTCTGGTGGGTCGCAAACTGGTAGACTAAAAATTCAGTTTTACTAACATCACAGGAAATGAAATAGAGACAAACAATGCCTACTGTGCAAAGTTTTACTCAGCCATGAGTCTATGAAACCTTCAAAACTTAAATGTCATTTTGGAACAAGTCATTCAGAACACACCAAAAAGATATGGAGTTCTTTCGTCATCATGAAGCTAGTTGCAAACATCGGAGACTTAATTGAACACAGCATTAGTGCAAGCATCAAATGAAGTCACATTAGAAATTACCAAGCAAAAACAACACACTAGGAGAAAATCTCATCAAACCCTGTATGTTGAAGATGGAGAAATTCTTGGGGATTCCAGTGCAGTAAAGATGCATCAAATAGCTCTGTCTAATAATACAATTCAGCGGCTTATAGCAGACATATCCATACATGTTAAAGAACAAATTTTGAAAGAAATTAAGCTTTTCAAGTTGATGAATCAACAGACATTAGTTCGTGTTTGAAGTTGCCTTTCTTTGTGAGATATATTCATTCAGATGATAGCAAAGAAGAGTTGCTATTTGGGAAGATAGCATGGAGAAAATAAATAAGTTTTTTTTAAAAACTGGATGATTTAAATGAGAAAACTGCTGTGGGGTTTGTACAGATGGAGCGCCATCTGTGTTTGGATCAAAATTGGGCTTTCAGAAAAAAGTAAAACATTTAGCTCCCTAATCAAGGGGAATCCACTGCAGGTAGCTTTTTCGTACATTACTAGCCGCGGGCGATTTTACGAAGACCTAAAAAATTGACCTAAAACGATAGATTACCAAAATTTAGATCCAGACTCTAGACAAATGATTAGTGATTTTAGGCTAAATAAAATAATAAATTAATAAATAATATCTAGATTTTAGTTATCTCCTTACCAAAACCGGAAGTCAGAGCCTGACCCTGAAACGTCATGCTCGTTTGGTTTTCGCATTTTAAATGTTTTTGGGGGGGTCCTATATACAAAAATGAAAAAAACTGCTAATCTAGCAATATCTCATCATTATTTTAATGCGAAATGCTAAGGAAATGGATACTATGGCTTAAATGCCAGAAAAATTTGCGAGATATGTAGTTATAATTGATACAAGCATTGCTTGTTGAGCACTCTCAGGAGAAACTGAACTTCAACGAAAAACGACCGACCACCGGGCAACAGCGCTCGACAGATCCTAGATAAATATATATTTGAGATATTTACCATGATTAATTACATTGATGATGTTTCCCCTTTCCAAAATCCAATTCACCATAGAAATACCATGCCTCTGCTATTTTTAGTAATGTTACGTCATTGTTACGCTAGTTGCCAGATAGAAACAACTAATTTTTGTTTTTTTGCGGAATGCACTGTTAAGTTTAGTATTTTAATTATAATTCAGTTGTAGCGTGTGTAGAAATTGTGGACATTATTATTGTATTAAAGTATTAGTAATTTTATAAGTATATTGATTTTTTTCTTCACTGCAAGCCAAGTAGGCCGACTGCACTGTTAGTTTCATTGAACATAATTCGTGAACGGTCGTTAACCTTGTAAATACTAGATCTAAATACTTCGTGGCCTACCCGTCTATATAATTTATATGAAATTATATGTAGTTTTTAATTAGGCCTTAGTATTGTATTTTAAACAATGCTCATTCCGAGCCTTTTTTGTGCTAAATCTAATTAGGCCTACTGGCAATTTTTTTAATTTTTAGACTTGGTCAACCTCGTTAATGCTGTTGTGTTAGTTAAACATATAGGAATTGTGTGTAAAATTTACGCAGTTACTCAGTTACTACGTAGTACGATATCGATAAATAAAGTAGTATTTATTTCCTTTTAGCAATCTTTTGATACAAAATGTCTAATATTTTATTTTCCAATACATCGTGGTGTGTGGCAGAGTAAACAGAATGGTGCGGTAGGTGACCTAGAATCTTCGAGTTCGAATCCGAAGTAAATCAGTTGTGCTTTATTTTATTGTTTCACATAGGAAATGCCACAAGCGGCTTTATTTTCTTTCTTTTTTAAAAATATTTTTTTGATCGAAATAATATTTTATAAAATAATTATTCAAGATTTTCCAAACATCGTCGCTCGCGAGATCGACTGCTTACATTTTCTTGTCTGCGGGAGAAAAATGTTGACACGGTCGAGGGTTCACCGTGAGTTCAGCAGGCCTACCATACATACGTCACAGCATTAACGATTGCTGTTAGAGATCGTCGGTGGGCAAACCCACCCCTCCCCTCATAAACCAAGCAAATTGTAAAATAACTTAGGGTCATTTTAAGTTCATGCAAGCTTACAGGACTATAGATTTACTACGCAAAGCTGGTAAAAAAAAAAAAAAAAAACTTCGCCTAACCTAATGCTACTACAGAAGAGAAAAATAATTATAGAGTATTTATTTTAAAGTTTTAAAAAAAGCTGATTTATCATCTTACCTAATACTGTATTGTCTTTACAGTTAGAATGCCTAGATCTAGATTTCTGTCAGATCTATTTTTAGTTTTGGATATTAATTTTATTATCATCTTCATGGGTATTGATTGTTCAATTCATCATGGAAGGCCTAATGTCTTAAATTGTACATAGAATTTATAATAAATATGTCTGATATTTCTTTAATAAACATAATGACAATATAGGGCCTAAAGTTTTATTTCTAACAAAGAGTTTTGGTTTTTTTTTGGTAACTAAAATACCCAATGTTGTCGTAATTGCTATGACATCATGCTATGAATGGAAAACACAAACCAACGTAACTTTTTGAGCTTTTTTGATGGGGAAAAAGAGTTTCGCATTTTAAGAAGTTAATTGATCATTTTGTTTTTGTTTGTTTTCTTGGCCCCTAATGGACACGAGCGAGAAAAGTCTCAAAGGTATTTGAGAGGTGCATAAATTAATTTAAAAATCTTGCACGGCGTAGTTACAATTAATATGGTTATAAAATCCTGTCTTTCTGGTTATTTTTGGACTTTACTAAAGATTGGACGTATTTGATGTTTTTAATATTTTCGGTAACTAAATAAAATTTAAAAAAAAAGCAAAAACAATTTGGTTTTCACGTGTAATGGCGACATAAACAATGGCATCCTGCTATTGGATAGGCCGGCATAGATTTTATTGTACACATTGTAAGCTAAAAATAGAAAACTCGGTCATGGGGTTTTAAATTTGCATTGTTATTTAAAAACTTGATCTGCAAATTTTTGTAAACAAATAGAGTAAAGTTCCACGCGCTGTCACACATAGCGAACTCCCGACTTTCATCGACTTTCATCGGGCGCTATTTTGTAACCGTTTAACACAGAAACAAACCCAAAGTACTATATTATTCCTCTGCCTTTCTACTCTTAATATGTATCAATCATTTTATATTCCTACGCATTGAATTTGAGATATTCATGTTTTAGTGACGTGCTACTTGCGATATTTTTTTCCCCTCTTTTTTTTTCCCTGCGGCCATCTGAACCGGCTTGCGTAACGATCTTGTTTTATACGTTTTAATCCTAGTTTAATAAATAAAACAAATATTTTACACTTTTAAACGTGTTGTTGATTGTATTATTAATTAATAGATTTCAAAACCAAATTAAAAACATGTTAATTAAATTAATTAACGACATTAAAAGTTGACCCAGTGATGACTCAAGGGACGCAACTATAATAATCATAACAAAGGGACGTAACAATCACTAACAAGACATAACGTAACATTTGCTTAGATATGCTTGTATGTAGAGACACAAACTAGATTAAGAAGAAGTAGATGATCGAAATAATTTAAAACAACAGAAAAAAATAGAAATTATACAGATTCTAGGCTTAGCTTGAAATGTAGAGCATCTAGAACTAGGCTAGTCTAGCTCAAGTCGTTGGTTACGCAGCGCGGTGAAACCACCCAAATCGACACCCAAGCTGCGGCCACCCCTATTCACCTATCAGGTAGCTTTATTAGCCTAATCTATCGTATGTACAGTGTCCCGCACATATTGTAGAAGCTATTTATAGTTAACCTAGTTATAAAAAGCTTTGATTGGTTGGTTTATTCATCTCATCTGGGACCTAGTGTTTTTCATACGGGGAACTAGAATCGCCTTCGACGTCATACCTCGAAACTTTAAAATTTAAAAACTCGACTTCCAGAAGGAGAAAAACAAAAGAATTTGACCTGGATATATTTAGAAATGGACAGGTTTACAGCAGATATCGGTAGTTTCGTATAAAACATCAAAACAAATATTGTACGAAGCGATAAACAGGCGATGACCGCACCGGTGTTTTAACCGCGCGTGGAACTTTACTCTAGTTATCGATCACTAAGTTACTGTACAGCCAATCAATATTTGTCTTACGAAAGTGAAACATCCGGTTTAAACTTAGGCTTGATGAAAATAAATAGAGATGTAGCCTTAAACTCAACAAATTATTTTCAAGTTCTCTGGATTTGCAACTTTTATAGCATTTATTCTAAAAATATAAAATTTCTAAATTAATTTGATTTAGATCTGATCTCTAGATTCTAGAGATCTAGCATAGAAAATTATTAAATTACAAGCATGCAGCATAGAGTATTTGAGATTCTAATCATTCTAATCTAAATTTAAAATTTTTAAATTAGGCCTAATTATTAATTAAATTAAAAATTTAAATTAAAATTAGGCTACCTACTGTTTGTATAAGACTCTTCTGTATTTTAAATAAAGTTGTCATTGTTATTTTATCAGGGACTCTTTTATCATAAAATGTAGAATCTAGATATAGATATGACTCTATATGTCATAGATCTCTATGTTCTTTAAAATAGATCACCGTCTTTCTTACAACTTTCTAGGTTATTCGCCAGATTCTTTCTAGATCTAGGTCTAGAATCTAGATCTCTAGATCTACTGGTCTTTAGACTTAATAGATTCTATCTAGATCTAGATCTAGAGCTAACTCTTTTGAAAAAAAAATTAAGCGGGAGTGATCTACCCCTTCTTACAAGCTTTTAGTTTTTACTAGCCGACCCGGCCAGGCCCTGCTCTGGCTTCTGTGAAAAACCTTTCTGTTAAAGACCATTACCTGTGTGTTTAGTAATCATCATAAACCCGGCATTGCCCACCCAAACCACAACCAACCAAAACAACAAAACGCAAACACAACGCTAACACAATTACAAATACAAACGAAAACAAAAACCTAACAACAAACCCAACCACAACCACAAACACCAATACAAACACAAAGAAAAAAACAAAAGAAAAGCAAACAAAAACAAACCAAATCTAAACGCAAAACCAACAACAAACACAAACCCAAAGAAAAAAAACACAAACGAAAAAGCAAACGAAAACAAACCAAATCCAAACGCAAAACCAACCACAAACACAAATACAAACACAAACCCAAAGAAAAAAACACAAACGAAAACGAAAAAAGAAAGATAAAAAAAACGAACCAAATCAAAACGCAACCACTAACGCAAACCCAACCTAAACACAATGAAAACACAAACGCGAACATAAACGCAAAGTGCTCACAGTCTAGCCCGGGGCAGAATCGCCTGTTTCAGCTATTTAATCGACTACAGTACCCCAACTTATGCATAGTCTTTTGCACTCACTTAAACGAACGTAGGTGCCAAACCAAACCAAATGAACAATTATAATGCTCCAAGCTTATTCGTAAAATACCTACAACATTTGCACTTGATCAATCCCCGCTAATTATGTAATTATTTTTTTCCCAACACCAAAGCAAAGTAATAAAAAGTAAATTCTTTTCCACTAATGCAATGTTTTATAAAGGGAAGTAATTGTGTTTTCCTAATTTATCAAAGGGAAGTAAGTGCTAAAGGACTAAATATAAATAATTTTCAGACATAATTAGAATTTTTGTTATTTTTTAAAAATTGTGTTTAATGAACATGCCGACAATTATTACTATCAGTTCGAAAAATGAAAATTATTTCCCAACACTTTCAATAGTAATTTTTAAACTCATAAATTTAGACTGTGAGCACGATAATAGTCTAACACTTAAATCCATAGAAGTATGTCAACGACAAACAAACAAACTTATTTTTACATACAGAATTGAGCTTTATATATTAGACAAGCTAGTTGCACATGTCATTAAGTAAATAAAATATGACGTCACAGGCTCTAAACCTTTTGTGAACAAAAAAATCTAGATTCTAATTTAAATTTAGTGTTTCGCATCGCTTTTTAAAACGTTTAAAAACGACAGGAACGCGATTATGATTCCAGTTTTAAATGCCCTCCTTCTTAACAGGGATTTTTAACCGTTTTATTTTAACTTTTTACTTGTTTTTGTGAATCTCATATTGAATTTAAAAGGTGAGTTTTCAAAAAAAATGTATTTAAAAATAGTAAAACCTTGAGACTGATTCTGTTTTTTGGGGGATTATCTTCATTATTTATTAAACTTTCTAACTAGCATAATATTTATTTTAGATTTATCAGCTCAGCAGACTATGAAAAAGGCACTATATTAGCGGTATTGATACCGCATTTTCATGTCTTCGTTTTATATATGAACGAGGTCACAAAATTTAATACATTTTAGTTTCTCATAGAATTATAATAATTTAGAATTTAAAATGTTAAACTAAAGTACTAAAAGAGCAGATTCAAACGTAAGGGGGGGGGACCGATAGAGAGCGAGAGAGAGAGTGGCAGTGGCGGAACTAGAAAAAAAGGGCCACCCCGCAAACATTTTTTAGCCCCCCCCCCCATATATATATATATATATATATATATATATATATATATATATATATATATATATATATATATATATATATATATATATATATATATATATATATATATATATATATATATATATATATATATATATATATATATATATATTACTGGCCTGTTCGGGTTTTGAGACAAAAAAAATTTCAATTAAAACAAATTACAACAAAACATCGGCTGGGCCCATAAGCCAGCCTTAGCAGTCAGCCGAAAGGCTGCCACTATCCAAGGCCTAGACCGTAGTATCTAGCCCCAGCAATGTGTGTGTCTTCCCCATCAGTAGCGTAGCGTAATAACAAGCTTTTATGTAATAATGCACTAAAAAGTAGAAAATAAATTATACACTACTATTTAAATTACTATAAAGAAAATTGAATTATCAATTAGGTTGAACAAAGTAATAATCAGTACAATATACTAATTTTCTTCTCTCTTAAAATTTTGGCAAAGAGTGTCGCTTCCCATCCACCCGCTCCGACAGTCTGCTAACTCTTTTTTACTTTCTCGTATACACGAAGTATAGAGAAAGTATTGTAATCGTGCACAAAAATCACTTGAAATTTTTACAATTTTCACCGTATTACACCTCAGTCCTTCATCACATCCGAAGTAGGCTATAGAGGACTTATTTTAATCGGGCAAAAATTATCAACCCAGATTTATCAAAATTAAGAGGTTTTATGCGTAATCCAGTCTGAAGAACTGGGCTTTGCAATTCTGTCCGTATGTCTGTGTGTCTGTCTGTCTGTGTGTAAACACGATAACTTGAGTACCGTTACAGCTAGGTTGATGAAATTTCATATATAAGTATTTTATCAAAATCGTAGATCCTTATCAACTTTTGAGCGATTTCCGATAACCGGAAGTGGTACTTTTTCTACTTTGAATTTTTCAGAAGCCTATAACTTGAGTACTATTTTAGATAGATAAATGAAATTTCACATGTAAGTATAAGATCTAATTCTCTACCTTCTGTTAAATTTTGAGTAATTTCCATTGACCGGAAGAAGTAATTTACGCTACTTCCGATTTCTCAAAAAACTAATGTAAATTTTTAAAGTACTAATAATATTGCGTACTACTATGCACTTTTTACAAGCTTTTATTTAACTCACTTCCTCTGTCGTCGCCAGTCTGTCTGTCGTCAGTCTAGATCGAAACGCAGGAGTGAAAATTCGGAAACTTCTACTTGACCGATACGATTCACATTTGACACGTGGGTCAAGGCATGAAGACAATGCAATCTGAAACTAAATTTGACTTAATTGGATGCCTAATTAATTTTTTATGAATTAATAAAAATTTGGACCGAATTAGTAGGCATGTCTATCCAACCACACCACACGCGTCATCACCTTCAATAGCTGCGCCATCACGTAATGGCTGCGTTCAAAAACCATTGCGCGCCTACTGAACGTGATGTTCAGTAGGCGCGCAATGGTTTTTAGTCATGTAACTCTATTGTAAATAAAACATGTAAAGTACTGAAAAAAAAATTCATAAAAAACGTTTTAATAACAAGCTTTTATGTAATGATGCACAAAAAAGTAGAAAATAAATTATAGACTACTATTTAAATAACTATAAAGAAAAGCGTGGGTGTCTTCCTTAACATTAGTAAAGGTATCCAATAGATACTAAAGTGACCCACGCTTTTCTTTATAGTTATTTAAATAGTAGTCTATAATTTATTTTCTACTTTTTAGTGCATCATTACATAAAAGCTTGTTATTAAAACGTTTTTTGTGAATTTTTTTTTACAAGCTTTTATTTAACTCACTTCCTCGTCAGTCGCCAGTCGTCAGTCGTAAGTCTAGACCGAAACGCAGGAGTGAAAATTCGGAAACTTCTACTTGACCGATACGATTCACATTTGGCACGTGGGTCAAGACATCAGGACAATGCAATCTGAAATTAAATTTGACTTAATTGGATGCCTAATTAATTTTTTATGAATTAATTAAAATTTGGACCGAATCAATAGGCATGTCTATCCAACCACACCACACGCGTCATCACGTTCAATAGCTGCGCCATCACCTTCAGTAGGCGCGCCATCACGTTCAATATACGCGCAATGGTTTTTAGTCATGTAACACTATCCTAACATATAAAAGGCTGTGTGCGCTCTTCTCTATCTCTGTCTGTCCGCAAAATATTTTCGCCGGACATCACGTCAGAATCGGCAGCGATATATGGAGAACTTTATACGGACTTTTGTTGAAAATAATATGTTAGATGTTTTAAATGTATAACCACAATTTTATTTAAAGAAGAAAAATAAAAAATAAAGGCGTATTCGAATGTAGAGAAACAGTATTATTTATGCAACCGGAAAAGCATAATTAGATGTGAAAAAGAACGCATAAAACTGTGACGTCACTATTGCTTATACATTAACTAATGACGTCATCTACCGTGTTTAGAATAAAAAGAAATGAACTATTTCATTCAAATTTGATTTAGATCTACGTACACTATGAAATGTATACAATACAATTTTTCCGGCCTAAACTCATAAAATTTATTTTATTTATTTGGATTCTAGATCTAGATATTCTAGATTCATCTATTCAAATAATACATTTCTATACTAAAGTATTTCAGGCCTTAATTACTTTATTGAAATCTTTGTTTATCTATGCAATTTGCTAATCTCTATAATATATAAAGCAAAGTTGTCGGGTGCCCGATAGGGCACTTCCCGGCGCCGCAGGTGCTTCAAATTTGGCAGGATCTTGCCTTGGGGCGACAGAACACGGGGGCCGGTTGGCCGAAAAGTCTACGATGATGGGGTCAAAACTGACCTCGACTGACCGGCGCCTTATATGAGCTATAAATCGAAAAAAAAATGTCCACGGAGGAGCCTCTTCATAACTCCTGAGGTCGTAGACCGACCCTCGGGCGAATTAATTAAGCATTCAAATTCTCAATGTTTTCGAAAGCCTAAGCAAAGCTGGGCAGCATGCCTAGTTGTAAATAAAACATGTAAAGTACTGAAAAAAAAATTCATAAAAAACGTTTTAATAACAAGCTTTTATGTAATGATGCACTAAAAAGTAGAAAATAAATTATACACTACTATTTAAATTACTATAAAGAAAAGCGTTGGTCTCTTCTCAAATATTAGTAAAGGTATCAAATAGGTACTAAAGTACTAAAGTGACCCACGCTTTTCTTTATAGTAATTTA